CGATACCCACGCATGCATTAACCAAAGAAGCGGCCATGAAAACTCGCCGTTGCCTGACAATTCTGTCGAAACCGGCAGAAAATGTGAAGGCTTTGGCGAAGATGAACATTCGGCTGGGAATGGGCAAGGCACTTAGAGGATCCCATGGCGTCTTTCGCCAAAAAGAGCTAAGTGAAAGCCAGGAAGGCGTGGTATCATCCGGAAAGGAAGATTAAAGACCGACACTTGCCCTGTCCAGCACAAGTCGGCACAGCTGTTGGCAAAGGTTGCTTTCGACCTCTAGAGCACTAGCTACCGGTAGAAGAGGCAAAATTCAGTTGGGACCATGGGTAAGGTAGAGTACGTACAATGTACTTGTAAAAGAGCCCTTTGAAAAAACATGGCGTTTGCTTTCCACAAGCGCTCCCCTGAGATGGTGTCGACCTTGGAAAAGTCAGACCCTGACGGACAGGATCCTCCAGGCAAGAGAAGGATGGAACCCGACCATGCTGTGTCCACCAACAAGCACTTGACTCGACTGGTGAGGTTTTCGATTCTGCAGGCACGACGATCGTCCCAATCTCCCAAAGCTGGAGGTACACCGACCAGTGGCAGTAGCAAGCCTCCATTCCCCGTGGCAGGGGTACCTAGTCCTTCCCGTGGTTCTAGCAATCATCGTCAGCGCTCGCCGTCGCCCCGATCCAGCACACCACCCTCACAGCAACAACAGCAATCACCTTCTTCCGCAAAATATCCATTCGCCTTTGGAAGTTTTCCACAAGACAAAGAACGCCCCTCGACAGAAGTTCAATACCCGTACAACAATGATGCTCCTGGTCAAGTGATCAGTCAAACAGGCATGGTGGCTGGACATGTAGTTGATGTTCCAGCGGATCCTCCCATTGTAGTAGACTTGTCGGCTTCTCTCACTCTTAGTGTTGGAGATGAGGAAGACCAGCGGTCTGTCTATAGTGGAGAGAGCATTAGTGACGGTTTAGATGCGATCAGTGCCCAAGAAGACCATGATCACGACGACATGGACTTGTTACTGGCTCCGGATTCGGGGTCAGCCGACGGACACTTGATTATGAACGAAAACAGCAGCGACGAAGTCTACAACAGTGCTGAAATGTACAGTAGCAGCGGCAATTACGAAGGAGCCTCTCAGAGCTCGGGCATGAGCTCCACTTCCGACTCCATCATGAGGCGGGTCGAACAAGAAATTGCCAATGCGAGAAAGGCATCCAACGATGCACAAGCTCGTCTGGCATATTTCACACAAAAGCAGAAAGAATTGACACCCGTCATGACTGACAGCTATTCTTTTGATTTTGAGAACCTAGAGACCTCGGGAGATTTGCACAACATGCTCGATGTTGGGAGCGATGAAGCGGCAACGCCTCGTCATCAAAACAATCCCTCGGCCTGGTCCTCTCTGCGAGATGACAACAAAAGTCCGAGGTCGCCGCCACCTCCCGGTAGTTATCATCATGCATCTCGTTCGCCGCCAGCTCGAAACTATCATTTTTCACCTCGTTCGCCGGTGCCTGCTCAACATGCTCAAGAAGATAGCTATAACAATGCCATGGGAGTCATCGGAAGGGAGTTTGATACCAGCTCGGCGGATGTCGAGGAGAAGGTAGATATTGAAGTAGTCTTGGCTCCATCGCACAATCAGAATCCACAGCAGCGGGATGATCGCGAGCCGCATCCACCACAGCCGCCGCAATCGCCAACCTTCCGCGGCTTACACGCTGCTTCCAAGAAACAACAACGCAATACGCCGCCACCACAGAGGTCCCCACGTGTACTCTCTCCAGGCCACCAACAAAGACTCCGGTCTCCAAGAGGACAACTGAATATGGATGACAGCGTGGATATCGACGAAGCAGTGATTTCAGCTGTGTTTAGTGAAAAGAGCATCGAGTCCTTGCCCATCAAAGAAAGCTTACACGAAGTGTTTAGTGAACCCAGCATGGATTCTCTGCCCACTCAGCCGACGCAATCTAGCATTGAGAGACCCGGTTCCATAGACGCAAGCTATACCGAGAGCCAATCCCGCGCAATGTCTCCAAGCTCCTTGTCTCAGAGGAAGCAGCAGTTCATGTTGTCCCCAAACGGCAAGAACGCGACTAGTCCGTCGTCACAGCATTCTCAGCAGCAGCAGAAACAACAACGTTCGTTGCAATCTCACCTGAGCATTGAGACAAGTGGAAGTGCCAGCATAGCATCGCCCAGGAACAGCGTATGTTCTCCCAAGGCTAACAGCGTGTCGTCTCCACTATCGAATGTTGTGACCACTCCAAACAGTGGCACCTTTTCCCCTGGTCGTCGATCATCCAAGCTGCCTTCGACGCCAAGGGATCCCGGCACACCCTCATATCGAGAACGCCTTGAAAACAAGTTGAAGATCTTGGGGTCTCGATATCCTTCGTCGCCTCCAGCGAAGAGCCCCAACTCCAAGAAGGACGTCGACACGTCTCCAATCAGTCACAAGAAGGCAACAGAACCTTCGCCCCTGCTAATGAAAAGTCCAAACAACAGCACTTTGGCAGATGAAAATAATCCATCCGCTTTGAAAGACGAAGAGCGAACCTCGAAGTCTTCGTCACCGCCAGTGGCGCTGAGGCCAAAGGGTGGAAGCTACGATGGGTTGGAAACCAGAATCAAGGATTTGTTAGCTCGCACACTTCAGCCTACTATTCCCGCGGAATCCCAGCAGCAACCAAGCGAAAAGGATATCGAGTTCACTACATCGCCATCGGCAGAGCTTAAGGCGATTAAGAAGCTTCTTGAACAGGGTGTCGCCTCTACTGATGCCAAAGAAGGCCGAAAGAGAGGCCAGCGGGATGATAAGATAACCGGTACACCCTCTGGCGAGGTTGAGGTAGTTGGGTCTCTTGATGCGGAACAAGAAGAAGAAGAGGTGGAGGACGAAGAAGAGGACTCACAAACGCAAGATTTGACGTTTCCAGAGCTTGTTGCCTCTACCGAAGAAGGGCAAGAATTGACCGCTGAAGCATCTGCAGATGGATCTGTCGTGATTGTGACGCACTTGTCAACATCGAGATCTCATGAGTCAAAGTCTGATGAAAACGGAATTCGGTTGCTCCATCGATCCACGGGACCGGTGCCCGCAGTGCTGGAACCCTCTGGCGAAACAAAGGAAACAAAAGATACAAAGGAACCCTCAGTGACTTGTAGCACAAGCGAAGAGATACTTGAGCATCTGGATTCGTTTTCGCAGTCAAACGAATTCAAAATTAAGTCCAAGAGGTCCTCGAAGTCGGGTTCCCCCAGATCTTCGCCGACGCCAGAATTCAAGGAATGTGACGGTCAAGACAGCAACCCTGCGCAAGAGCTCGAGGAGCCACCAGCTGATGAGGTTGTAGAAGATGAGTTCCCATCGCTCGAGCAGAGTGACAGCAAGCCCAAGAAAGGAACTCTTTCTGCACTAACAAGGCTCTTCGAAAGAAAAACCACAACACCACCCGCAAAGCCTGTAGCAACACCCAAGCGAATAGTTACTCCAAGAAGAATTTCAACACCCTCAGAATTCACATTCACGATGCCAAAGGATGCCCCAGCGCTCAAAGAAGTCCCGAAGGTCAAGGAAGTGCCAGGGCAAAGGGAAGTCCCGACGCCCAAGGAGAATCTAACACCCAAGGAAAGCCCCAAAAGCGAGCAAATTCCACCGTCTTTGGAAACCGTGCCTCCAAAGGAACTCACCAAATCAGATCCGTTGACTCAAGAAGACCTCAGCGACCGTAAGGAGGCAAAAGCAGACTCAGAAAAGCAAGCAACACAACAAAGCAACGAATGGAACGATGAAGGGATCGAAATCGAAGACACCGAATTTCCCATGCCCGTTTCTGAAGTCCCCAAGCCTAAGGATCCTATTGTGGAAGTGGAAGTTCACGCGCCTGATGAACCCGCTACTGAAGCAGCCAAGGCTCCAGAAGTATCCAAGCCTATAGTTCAACACAACCAGATAAAATCCGAAGAAGAAGTGAACGGTGGATTTCACATCAAAGTCACAATCAAAAGTGGCGACCCCACTTTGAAACCAACAACAGCAACAACCGCAAGCGTAGCAAATGTTCACGAGAAGTCCGTTAACCCAAGTGAACAGAGTCCATCTGATGATCAGAGCCCTGGTGAACAGGGTCCGTCTGTGGTGACGAAGAAGACCCCTTCTGTATTGAACGCTGCTTTGTGCCGACCGTCTACCACAGACAACAAGGATCGCAAGATCAAACAGGGCAAGAATCGTAAGAAGTATCTTGCCAAGAAAGCCGCCTTGGCAGAGGAAGAAAAGCTGCAAGCAGAAATCAATGACACGACACAGACGTCCTCTGGCGAAGGGCCCAAAAACTTGGCAGTGAACGCTTCCTCTAGTGAGGCCTCCGTTCATTCGGGGGAAAACACGACATCAAACCAGGCTTCGATACACCTAGAAGTAAACGCGTCTTCAAGTCAAGCCTCACTGATTTCAACGGCAGCCGTAAATGCCACCTCAAGTCAAGCTTCACACTCGGTCAAGGCATCCTCCAGTCAAGCCTCCGTTCACTCTCGCGAACAAGACTTTGTCTCGTCAACTTCAAGTGCAGGAGACATCAGCGATTCTCGTCCATCAGTGTCAGACGATGTGCATGATTACTCATATGATGCCGACGTTGCAAGCGACTGCGGTGAGGAAAAGGAAGCAAAAAAGGCCCCTGCACGAGTCGTGAATCTAAAGGAAGCGCCGTCACCACCCAGTCATGAAAGCCATGAAGAACCGCGTGAAACGCCTTCTGGCGACAAGAACATGCTAGCAAGCATCATGACCTCAAGCAGCACTTCTCAAACGGACGCGCTGCCTCCGAAGCCGCCGCTTAGCAATAGGACGTCTATTGAATCCAAGGGGGTCCCCCCTATTCCTCCTGGTAACAGGGTCAAAACTGTTTCGCTGCAAGCTCCACCGACACTTGTTCGAGACAACGACAGGAGGGCGCCATTACCTCTCAGCAAATCGAATACATCCCGGCAAGATCGAAAGATCAGATTTCGAGACCCATATCCCACCCCCAAGCCTTGCCGGAAACCTCGTAGCACCGAAGAAATTCAACGTGATTATTCGTGCAGACCCACAAAAGCTGACAAAAAGACTCGATGGAAGGAGCCCAAGGGCGATCTCAAACGCCTCCTCGTTGCCGCACTGGATTCTTCGCTGTCCCGAAGGAGTAATGCATGCGGCGCGCTGAAGGTTATCTCCAAACTCGAAAAGAACAAAGTCATTCTTGTCCGAACCACTGGATTTCTCGAAGCACTTGTTTTCGTTGCGACGGACGAAGTGTCGTCAAGTGAACCAGACGCGAAGGAGGACGCCCGAGCACGCGCAATCTCGTGTATATACAATGTTTCACACGCCAAGGAGAATCGAGTGATCGTATGCACACACCCTGGGCTTCTTGAGTGTCTCGTGAGAACAATCAATGAAGACCGCGGAGAAGCAAGAATGGAAGCGTGCGGTGTTTTGGCGCAATTGGCCAAAAGCGCCATGTGCCGTGATGTCATGGTCGACGTTGAGGAGTTGCTGTCCACACTTGCAAGCGTTTTGAAGGGGACCATTGACCCGGAAGAAAAGGCAATGCCCAGCAACAACGTCCTCTCCCAAGACATCACCGAAGAGGTCCCATCTTCGTATTCTGAAATGTCCTCAGTACTGTCCGAGGAGCATATTCCTTTCCCAAAGAACACAGGCAGCCCTTCGAGCAAGTCTGAGCGCTACGATATGCACCCCAACTGTTCCATCAGAAAGCAAAAGAGTGAAATGTATGACCAGTACTATGACTTAGCCAGGCTAAGTGCTTGCGCAGCCCTAGTTCACTTGTCGAAGCAGTGTTCCGTCATGGTAAGTTGATGACGCGGGCATGTGTGTCGACGAATTTGACCGGGACGCTTACACTTCCAACTCTTCCCTCGTGTATAAAATGTTTCTTCAGGACCATTTCTGTTCAAACGTGTTCCTGCTCGAAAGTATTATTCACGTTGCCCGGGATTTTGACAGCAAGCTACATGGCAAATGCCTTGAAATCCTCTGCAACGTTTCCAGGCTTCCTGGAAACACCACAGAAATGACGCGCTTCCCAGCGCTTGTCGACACGCTCTTGAGAGCATGTACGTCGACCGAGGCACAAGATCGTGTCTGGGCTCTCCGTACGCTGCAGAACATGTCGTCTGATGCGGCTAGCAAGTCCACACTGGCGACAAGCACGTTATTGACTTTACTCATCAACTGTGTTACGAGCAAAAAGACCGATGAACAGCATGCAGCAATGGCAACTCTCCTGAATCTTTCAACTGATCCCAGTGCAGTGGTACCAATCACGAGCACCAAAAACGTTCTGGCAACCTTGGTTTACCTTGCCCACAATGCCGATTCAACTTCCGATATCCGTCGCATGGCGTGCAATGCTTTGGCCACCGTGGGTCTCTGGCTCCAAACTGTATCAGGGTTTGGATCCATCCCAGAAGAGACACGACGAGTTCTACTGCCATCACACAAAACAACCGGATGGGAAATTTGGGACTAGTGAAGTGCACGCAGTGTCATTTTGAACAACTGTGGGCAACTTCGTCCTACTTCCGATTCCGGCCACTCGTTCTTCCTTGTGTGTTTGTGTAGACTATAATGATTTATCGAAGTTTTCATTTGCGGCTACTTTACTATTGGTACGGTAGCTCTAGAGGTACCGGTACCTGGTACAAGTAGGATATACCAGGTACGGTACTGTAGGAGCATGTAGACCAGCTCCGGTTGTTGCTACCGCTAGCTACATAGCATCGAATTGACCACCTCGCTGCCTTTGCCCACAAAGCAAGGGTATCAATCTCATCCTCTCCTGCAGCCTGTTCGAACTGAGCATCTTCGGATGTCACGTTGTGGTTTAGACAATAATGATTTATCGAAGTTTTCATTTGAGGCTACTTTTACTATTGGTAGCTCTAGCTAGCTAGAGGTACCTGGTACAAGATTGCTTGTAGGATATGCCAGGTACGGCAGGAGCATGCCGGCCAGCTCCGGCTGTGTTCCAACGGGTACCGTACTGGTAGCTAGCATCGAATTGACCACAGCTCGCTGCCTTTGCCCACAAAGCAAGGGAATCAATCTCATCCTCTCCTGCGGCTGTTGGAACGGAGCATCTTCGGATGTCACGATGCGGTAGACGTAGACAGATGGCTGCAACTGGTCATAGGCGAGTCGAGTCGAGCTAAATAATGATTCGAATCTTCTTGTCACCGGATCTCCTCTTGTCCCGCTGGTCATATTTGACGCACTCTACAAAAAGCAGAGATTCGTAGGCGTCAACCATATTGAGCAGCTTCCTTAGTCGTTGTCGTACTCCGTTCTTCTGCTCAGACTTCATGTCACGTTTTGCTCTCGCTCGCCGCTTACCAGATTTGTAGCAATTCAACGCAGTTTCATCCACAGGAAGCCCTTCTTTACCCATGGCATAGACCAACCTCAAGGCAACATCTGGACACAAGGCTCTTCCGGCGACATAGATGAGTCCATGGTAGGCTGCGACGAGGTTCTTGCCCTTGGTACGAGCTGCCGACACCGGCTTGGATCGGGCCCGATTCTCATGCGCCAAGCAGGCACTTCGGATTTCCTGCTTCCATGCATTCACGGCGTCATCAATATCAGCTCCGAAACACCGCAGGACTGCGTTGACAAAGCGTCCATCGGCGGGGATCCCGGCGGAAGTGGCATTTCGGAATATTTCAATTGCCAAGTTGGAATTGTTGTCGTCGTGGGACGCAGCTACCTGGGCGTATAACGCAAACGTTTGCGAGTTTGGTTCTCGGACGTATTCAGTGACAATGGCCTTGGCGGCTTGAATTGAGTTCAGACCGTCCAATTGCATTAACAGTTGCTGGTTGGTGCTTGCTAAAGATTTTTGTCTCGACAAGATTGTGCCAATACTGGCGTTGGCGAGATCCAACGCTGCACCACTTTCGTCTTTGGCAATGGCTCCCAACAAGACATTCCAGTAGCGTGGGGAGGCTGATTGTAGTTCGGGTGGGACATGGTGAGCAAACAAAACACAGGCACTTGATGGGTCGCCGACTTGCCCAAAAGCAGTAATGGCCGCCCGTAGTACTGCCCCCTTCATTTGGACTCGTCCTTGGGAATCTTTCAAGAGTTCGGTAAGTTCGGATGATGTCTGGCAGATACTCATCATGGTGCTAATGGTGAATTCATCTGGTTGTATATATGGCAGTGGAGAGTTCCTCATGAGATTGTAGAGTTTCCATGCTTCTTCTGCCAGCAAAGCTGGTGTCATGGTGGTGGTGGCAGATTGCTGTTCCGATTGCATCATCATGGACGCATTGTCGTCGGACGAGCTCTTGTCCTCGGATGATGGTTGCTTGCTGTCCTTTTCCACACTGGCCGCCGCTGCTGCAGCTGTTTTCGCCGCCAATAGCTTCCGTTTGTATCCTTCTAGCAGAATGGTAAAGTAACGTGTTCGAGGCCGCAGCAATCGCACGAGACTGGCATGTGAAATGACGGGCTCCAATGCTGGTCCCACGTACATGTCAAAGATGGCCTTGGCCGCGGCGACATCGTTTCCCTTGTCAACCAGAGTCCAAAGAAATGCTTGAAATGCGTCGGCGACAACGGTTTCTGACTGATAATTGATGAATTGGTCCAGAATCTGTTCGACATCTCCAATTCTTCCGGCCCGTAGTAATGGCAAGAGCAAGAAATCCACCGTGTACCCATCTGGCTGGATGATTGTCTTTTGCACTGTAGAATCGTGGTAATAGTCGTTGTTTTTATCATTCGTTTGGATCCATGTTTCGTAGAGTTGCAAGGCAGCCTCATCATCTTGTTGCAAACTCTTGAGGCGGGCATTGACGAGCTGTGTACTGAAGTGTTGTTTTTGTGGTTGCTGTTGTGCCATGTTCCAGACTTGATCTGCCAGAGTCCGGTTTCCCATTTCGGCAGCCGCATTGAGAACGGTGGCATACGAAGTGGAATCCGGTGGTGGAAGAATGCGCAGTAGTGCGGGAGAGTGGTCCAACCATTTCCGGGCTCGTTGCAAATATTCAACCGAGTCCACGGGCGCCCAAAAAGTTCGATCCGTGGTGGTATCCACAATGGGATCACAGAGTGCTGCCAGGAATAGATTGTAGGCAAATGGACTGACTGGTGTACTTGTGGTGGTGGCGACCTGCGCAGATGATGTTTGTACTACTTGGAGTAGAAATTGTTCCATCTGGTTGACTCTTCCAATTTTGCGCAGTCCCTGACAAATGGCTTCTTGGCAAATGGTGGAAGGAGTGTGATTGCAATCTTGCATCAAGTGCGTTGTAATATTGAGTGAAATAGACAAGAGTCCCGTCATGGCAGTGGCCTTGACGACTCGTTCCAGTATGGGTATCTTGCTGTCATTGTCATTGTTGTTGATCATTATTTGGCGGACACTCTGTTCGATTTGCCGTCCCGCTTGAATGACGTGTTGTGTGGTGCGGGAATGCACCAGCGATTTCAAGGCATTCAGCAGCTTTTGCAGCTGATCCGCATCCTCTTGTTGTTGTTGTGGTGGTTGAGAAGCAGCCACTAATTTTTCCACGCTCTCGAGGATCCATCGCATCTGTCTTTTTTGCGAAGGGGCCTTTTGTCTCTTTGCTGGGAGTGCTGCTGCTTGTGGCTCTGCTGGAACGACCGTGTTTTCGTCTGTTGCTGCACTTGTACTTGTAGTATGGCTCTGTACAGAGGAGAAGAGTCTCCATGATGACGGTGATTTTGATGATGGTACATGACATTGTGTGGAGTGTGAACTACTTGTTGTCAACCAATAATTGGTAGAAGGAGCCACTGCTGGAATGGAAAATCCAACTGCCGTGTAGCTTTGTGATGAAGCGAGAAGCAGCGAGAGTAAAAGACCACGGACACTACCTGCTGTGACTGCTGCCATCTTTGACTCTCTTGGCCTACTACTATGCATAGTACATATATTTCATCTCCAGTTCAATATAGCTTCTTTTGCATGGCCCCTTTGCAAAGTTCATCGATCTTTGTGCGGTTGTGTGAGCTTTGCTCTTATCTTTTCATCGTTGGTTGAAGCAGGGATGGATGACGTCATCAGCAACCATGACTGGTACTTGTATTCGTGAACAACAAACTCAAACAGTCATTTGCGCGGTTCTTTTGTTTTCGACCAATGCGGTGCAAAAATAGAAGCTTGGTGAAGAGACAAAGACAACAAGACCACATACTCGTAGACATTCTGCTGAGGCAACCAAGAGAGAGATAGTTGAGTCTATATAGAATACATTGAAGAGAGAGAAGACTAGCTAGAAAGCCATGTCGAGCACGCAAGAAGTGGGTGAAATCTTTGGAGAGGGCAGCGGCCCTGCCCATGCCATGCTCCGATCACCGACCATTCTGATTGCCAGTGTCGGTTTTTGGGGATTGAACATTTTGATCTTTCGCATCTTTCGAATCAACTATGTCAAGGTCTTGCAGTACGATTTGAAAAAGCTGAAAAAGGACGAAGATGCGGAATTAGTTTCTCATCAAGAGGAGACGACTTCAGACGATTCGTCGCCCGACAATACGAATACTAATAAGATTATCGGCAAGGCATCCTCCTCCGAAGGATCCACCGTGGCCACATCCAGCAACAGCAGTACTTTTAGCGGAGACAATAATAATAATGGAGACGACGACGAAGATCATCACCATCATCATCATCATCACACGGACATGTCACCCAGTGGAACAGTCGTTTACGATGCCATTACGTGGAATCGATTGGTCTCCTTTTCCGCGTCACTGCTTTTCTTGTTGCACTTTACGACCTACTTTTGGATGGAAGTATTGGGAGGAGGATTCATTGGAGCCATTTTTTCCTTTTATGGATCTGTCATTACCGTCATTCTACTACCCATTCCATCACTGCAGTGGCTACGAAAGGGATGTGCCATTGCCTTTCACAGAACTTTCGAATTGGTCAATCCACGCTGTCATTGTCTCAAAAAAACTGATCCAGCCGCCATTCCAAGACCCATTCCCTTTGTCGACGTATACTTTGCCGATGCCATGTGTTCGCTCAGCAAGGTCTTTTTTGACATGGGAATGCTCCTACACATGCTCAGTCATTATCCAGAGCCCGTAAGTATGGTAGTGTCACAACATACATGACAAAAAACAGTACCGTACTTGAGAAAGGAGGATATTCATTATGCTTTCGCTTCTTTTTTGCTTGCTTTCAGGTACCACCGTCGATTCATAACATTGTCATTCCATCTGCATGTGCTGCTGTCCCTTATCTCATTCGGGCAAGGCAATGCTTGGTCATGCACACTGTGGGGAAACTCCAGGTACGTTTCTCATCAGCATTCTGCAACAATGTCTTTGTTCTCTTGCTGGAGACTCTCTCTTGTTCAATTCTCAATGTAAATGCAACCTTTTTAAAAAAATCTACAACAATTCACACCACAATAAATAGAATGACCCCAAACGAAGACAGCACATACAGAATGCTATCAAGTATTCGACGAGTTTGTGGCCTCTATTCCTTTCAGCATACCAAAAGTGTATTGCACCGGACAAGGCAGCAGAATTGGAAACTCTCCTCGTTTTCTTGCTCATGTGAGTTCAGTTCAGTACAGCACAGTACATTGAAATCTAGTCATTCAGATCTCAATTGTGGCGAAAGAAGACAATCCAATCTTCGCTCACGCCATTTGTTCTCGTTCTTTCGCTTCCTTCCACAGCATCAACGCGAGTTATTCCTTGTACTGGGACATTGTCATGGATTGGGGCATGATGCAAGATCCAACCAAAGTGGCAGCTTGTGCCGGGGGAGTTTACCCAGTCGGAGAAGGACTGGCAGAAAAGCCACAGACGGATTGTACCCATGTGCTGCTGCGGCCTAGGCTCCGTTTTGGATTGGGCATTTCATTGACCATTCTCATCACAGATGCCATTCTACGGTTCAGTTGGGCATTACGATTCTATCATGCGCTCTTTCCATCGGCAGATGCATTCGTCCTCTTTACTCAATTTCTCGAAGTCTTTCGGTACGTTCATTTTATTGTGTTGGGATGCTGCCATTTTTCAATTGTTGTATCACTTGTCACTCACAAAAAAGGCTTCTTGAAACCATACAGACGGGCCATCTGGAATCTGCTTCGAGTGGAATGGGAAAACATTAAGCAACAAAAAGCACAAATGGAGAAAGAACAGGAACCTGCTGTGGCAGAGGATGAGGAGAGCTCTGCATTCCTTCCACCAGCATCTCTGCCAATGACAGTGCCAGCAAAGCGACCAAATTCGTCTACCACAGCCTAGGCTAGAAAGCTAGAGTGGGACAATAATTGGATTCAAGCTGGTTCCTAGATGTACTTTGATGCGCTTCGTTAAAGAGCATTGGGCAAACCACAGCTCTTGGACGAGGCCTGACCGGAGTAACTTTACCTGACAACTAACTTAACTAGTAGCTAGTGGAAACGTGACGAACACTGCAACTCGTGAGAATATCGTTGGGTTCTCGAGATTGCTGCGCGTGATGATAACTCTCAGTGCTGAGTATGCACACGTCCAAGTCGATGAAGTCGAAAATTAGGGAAACAAGAAAGGCACAATGAGAAGCAGCTAAAGCAGAAAAAGAGGAGGATTGCACTTCATTCCTTCCACAAGCAAAAATCTACCAATAACACAACCGACAAAGCACAGAGTTGCTCTCCTAGTTTACGCGTCTCCGTTCTTGGCAGACAACAGCTTCCGTGCCACGAGTTCCAAGAGCTCAGCCATGGGCTTGTGACGGTTTGCCATATCTTTACTTAGATTCGTCCACAATTCACCGTGCTTGGGGTCTGCCTTGACACATCGTTCTTTTACTTTGTCTTGTTGCTCCTTGGTACCAACCTCCAGCTCGAACGCATAGAAGCGAGCCCACGAGTCTCCAATGTCCGGGTCCAAGATCACTGCTCTGTCGAACCACTTTCGCGCCTTCTCGTTCTTCCTGTCAGAAGCGAACAAAGTGGCAACGGCCGCTATTACCAGAGGATCCTCTGGGAGTCGCTTGATTGCATCAGCGGACTTGGATTTCTTCGCAGCACGGGGAGCCGAAGCGATGTTCTCGGCAAGGAGCAATCCTGAGTTCGGACATTCTTGCAAAGCTCGAGCAGTAAGAGAGTCTGCCAGTTTATCATTGTTGGCTCGTCGCTCTAAGCGAATTGATTCCAGCCATAGCAGAGGATTCTTGTTGTTCTTCAAACGGGCAATCTCAAGCAAGCCCCGTGCCTTGGTCACTCCCAGACCTGGCTTGACCGTGCCGGTGGCGTCGAACGTATGCGCCTTCTCTTCCAAGCGACTAGCCAGCGCCCAAAGAATAACGTTTTGTGGGCATTCCTGTAGGCCACGCTGATAGAATTTCCTTGCTTTGTCCAAGTTCGACTTTTCCTTCGCCAAATCCTCTGAACATATTTGACCTCCCATCATGTAAAGCTTTGGGAAAGACTTATAGTTGGAAATCCCTTCTTCTAAGAGCGACAAGGCTTCCTTGAAGTTCTTCTGCTCCCTTTCTAGCAAAGCTGACTTCATGTAGACACGGTCAGTGGGTGCCCGTTCTCGCGCACGTTGCAACAGGACTCTTGCGCGTTCAATCTGGAGGAGTGAAGCGAAGTGAAGTGGAAAGCAACAACGCACGGTTAGCTGGGATTTCTTCAATTCGATTGAGCAACGAACCATCGATTCTGGACGTACCTCTCCGGTTTCCCACTCGAGCTTCGCAGCAGCCAACCAGACAGCCTCTGAATCAGGATTTGCTGCGAAGGCCTCAGTTAGGATATCTCTGGCTTTTCCCACATTACCAGCAAGCCATTGTTCTTTAGCACGAACCAGCCAGAATATTTCAACTCGAGGCAATCGCTTGCTTGCCGCAGCCAACGTCTCGTCCAAAGTCTCTGGCGTTCCATGCTTACGTTCCATGTCAACCGCCTGCATCCAGAGGCTCCGTTTCGTCGGGAACGCCGCAAGACTGTGCGTGAGAATCGCTCGGGCAGTGGCCACACTCCCCCTCGCCAGAGCCCCTGTTGCATCGTCTGCCCAAGTCCGTTGCCTATCTTCTTGTTCCACTCCGTACCCCACAGTGAATTTGACGATTGCTGCGCTCGTTAAGGGGGCTCCGGCAGCTTCCGCGGTTTCTGCCTCATGCAGCCATTGGGCACGTGTCACCACAGCATCATGCTTCTGAAGAGATTTGACGGCCCTCTCTACAATCTTCTCGACGACCTGGTTGTGGTTTTGAGACTCTTCCAATTTCGCAGCAGCAAGCCAAATTGTCCGCTCCGTGGGCAAAGCCTTTCGTGCCCGATTCAAAACTTTTTGGGCCTTCTCATACGTTTCCAGTCGAGCCAGCGCCAACCACATGTCCACGGAATGAGGAATCTTTTCGACTGCAACAGATAATAGAACACGGGCATCATCTGCATCTTCCAAATCGATAGCTGCCTTCCAGAGGGTAACGGATGACGGGTTAGCTTCGAGCGCCTTTCGCAGCACTGCTTTCTTGGCAGCATCATTGGGTTCCAAATCAGCAGCTTTAAGAAATATCTTGACAGATGTTGGTATCTTACGAACTGCTGTTGCCAAGATACTCTTGGCTACTTCTTGCGGGTGAAGCCGCGCTGCTTCGAGCCACACATCTTCGCTGTCCGAACAAACATTGCAGCCTTCTTGGATGATTTTTCGGGCCTGCAGGATCTTTCCAGCAGCTTCCTCAACACGGGCCGAAGCGATCCAGCCGGGGGCGTGCTTTGGATTTGTATCTCGGACAGATTTGAGCAAGAGGCGTGCTTTGTTGATATCGCTAACTTCAGCATTGGTGGCAATTTTGGTACTCGAGAGACTTGTCAAGTAACCTTGTGGATCCACCACTGTTTGTCCCGATATGGAATCGCTCATGCTGTCCAGTGACATACCTAGAACTTTGCCTCTTGCGGCACCAACCCCTGACATATTTGTAACAGTCCCCGATTCGAATGCAGAGGTTGTGGCCGCAATTCCAGTCCCTGTGGTCCCGGCTGTAGCATCTAGGTTGGCATTGGTGCGTTGCTCCAACAGAGAATCCGAGACGGGAGTGTACACTTCTTGCCGTTGTTTTTGCTTGAACTTCAAAGAGTAGTCACCCACTTCGGGAATGTTTGCCCACTGATCCTCTGTAACGTCTGCTAATTTCTCTTTTAGCTCTCGGAATTGCACTCCAATTTTGGATCTGGATGACTTTTGTTCGTCTTCTTCGTCTTGAGCTGCTGAATTGGCACCCTTCCGTTTCCGTTTGCTAGCCATTCGTTCATCAATAGCAGCCCAAATTTTGTCGGCTTCGTCATCGTCATCATCATACTGTGATTCATCAACGGGTCTGTCGTTATTGTACCCTCCAAAGGAGTCGTAGGATCCAGTTGGACCACCTTCGTTGTCCGCTTTTCCCATATTAGCTCCACGCCCAGCACCTGGGACGTATCCCTGAGGAGCAGCTCCAAACATACCCTGCTGTTGCTTTTGCTGTTGCTGCCTCATGGCCATCTTTGCCGCTCGCAGCTCTGAAGATCGGCTTCCACTTCCCGATGCATCGGCAGCATCATCGACACTTCCAGGAGCAGCCATGGGGCCAACATCGGAGCGGGTTGTGAAACCGGCAGCCCCACGGCCAAGGCCTGGCACATAGCCGGCTGGAGCCGCCCTTCCTCGCCCTCTGAATGCCATCTCTCCAACAAACGTGCAGTATACTATGAAAACAGAGATCCTTCGTAGGATACCGGTAGGAAATAGGAAAGGATACAGCCAAATGAAGATCTACCGGTATGAAGTCGCTCAGACTCGGCTCGACAGGACTCTGACTCTTACTCGACTTGGTTGTACTGTACTGTATTGAAATGTATTTGCCGCTTCTACTACCGGTAGCTATTAGCTTCTTGCTGATCCACAATAGCTATCCAGTTGAATGATAGATCCTTCACTCGATCATCTCCTGCTATTTGGCAACTCTGCCATCTTCCATTTTAGTTTTGTTGATTGAAATGCCAATGTCATTGTGTCGTACCGCGAGTGCCAGATTTAGTACAATCAAGAGGAGTGAAAGATACCGTTGTCGAACCAGAGAAACGAAAGGGTGAGAGCCCACAAGCGTCGACCAAATTAACTGCAGCAGCAGGAGAGCCACTCCAGATATGGCTGAGGTCAACAAATCACAAACGCCCAGAGGAAGGCACCTGGAGACTGCTCCAGTTGCACTCGCCACCTTTCAGCTTTGGATTGTTCTTCTTCATGGAGCATCCAAGTGCCGCTTCACAATCGTTTTGCCGTTGCCAATAGCCGCTACTGAGACGCCATTGCGGGTATTGCTGTTGCAATTGTTATTGTAGTTGTTTCTATTGCGAACTTGTTGTACCAGAGGAGAAAAAAGATCGCTCGTGGCTTGAGCGACCAGTTATCCGTTGAACTCGAATTTGTTCCCTGCGGCACTGCCAATGTAAGTTGCTCAGCACAAGCCCCCTGTTCCGTCGTATCGCCATGTCGTCGCATTGGCACTCATGCTAGCGCTGTTGTCGGTGTCGGAATGGCTATCTTTGGTCATGCGAATACCCCTCTCATTCCGCTGCTTGATTTCTCTCCCGTTCTGTTGACGAATTGAATCGTACAGAGGTCCACATTCCATCGAACCAGACTTGGTATCAGTCCTTGACGGCTCATCACATTTTCCAGAGCCGTCATATCATTGTATCGACCGTATCCGATCCAACATGGAATCGGCAGAGTACTATTATGGCGATGAAGCTGAGGATTCCATGGAGGTCGTCGCAGCTGAAGAAGCAGACGACGATGATGTCATGGCTGCTGTTGTCGTGGAGGAAGAAGAGGAGGAAGACGACGAGGAGGAAGATGCCGACGAGGAAGACGCATTGGAAGGCGAAGCCGATGCCGTTGTCGTCCCCACGGTGGTAGAAGAAGAATCAGTGCCGGTGGCTGCTGCAGCTGTGGCCACAGCAGTTCCAGCAGCGAAACCAGCTCCTGCCAAAAAGAAGGCACCGTCAAAAAAGAGTAAAGGTGGTGGTGGGAAAGGTGGGTCGGCTGGAGGCGGAGCAAACAACAAAAAGAAATCTTCCAAAAAGAAAAAAACTGCTGGGAATGGGGCCTCTGGTAGTGGCTCAGCTTCTGCATCTGCCAATTCAAACAATCAAGTCTTCTCTAGAATATCCCAAGAGAGGCTCAATGCTGCTGCAAAGGCGCGCAATCAATTGGTTGAGTCTGCCACCACTTTACCGTTCAAAGCGGACGAAATCCATGTCAGGTGCTTTGGACGTCTTACCATTGAACCGGCAACTAGCAAAAGCCACTTCTCAAAGGCCAATGCCTTGTATCCTGTGGGATACTCTTGTGATCGCTACGAATTCAGCCCAGTACATGGAAGAGTCCTAAAGTTGCGCTGCTCCGTACTCGATGGCAAGAAAATCAAGGAGAAACAAGCCGCCAAGGGAGTTCCCGTTGCAGTATACCTGCACGATGGGCCCATCTTTCGCATCATGTGGGGACAGGGGATTGATGAAGACAAGGACGATGTTGTTTACCCCTATGATCCCTACTCCATGTCGGCCCCACTCTCCACCAATCAAGTCGATGCTGTAGCCATACCCACGACGGCTGAAGGATCCGGGAAACCTGTCATACCTGTTCCAGGAATGAGAGTCAAAGTCACATTCGACCGTGGACAGGGCTTTGAAGGAACAATATCCAAGGTTGGGACACCCGTTGAGGAAGGGGTCAAATCAAAGAAACGAATGCATGTCGAAATAGAGATCCAGTATGACGACGGTTCTTCGGAAGTGCTCATGTTTCCAGATCCCGATGTTTCCTTGCTTTTGCCAGGTACGTGCATGGTCGTTAGCCCCCTACAGTCATTGCTGGCTAGACTCGGCTCGTTACTCACAGCTGCTTCTCGTCCACGCCACAGAGGCGGAACCAGATGTTGACAGCCAAGGAAACCTTGAACACCGTGAGATGAACGGCTTGCCTGTGCACACTGTGATAGGATTGTCTCCAATTGAGGCATGGGGGAAAGTACTCTCTAGGTTGGGCCTCACGGACGAAATAATATCTGTAGCTGCCTTGGACTCTATGCGGTGCTCCCGGAATCTAGGTCTCATGGAGGCCAAGGGTAAAATTGAATCAAAAAAGGCTCGTAAGAAAAGCGACGCCGACAACGGTGACGCTGGTGCTTCCGCATCGGGAAGTCCTTCCGGGAAAGCGATGGTTACCTTTCCCAGCTCCATGGCGGAAGGAGAGATTGCCTTGAAAGTAAGGGGTCTACGAAAGGAACTTGATCATGCAAAGAATCAGGATCGAGCGGCCGCTGTTGATCTGGCAGACAAACGAATAAGCGCCCTGGGTGCTTACCTCAGCAATCCATTTTCAGATAAAGATCCACAATTGCCCCATCAGTCGAATTGGTTGGCACTTGCCGTGAGAAAGGAAAAGACCAAAATGGGAAGTACTGGGAACAAGAAGAAAATTGTCACAGCTACGGATCTGTTGGAACGAAATGATACATTCTACAACTCTGAAATTGAGCAGCTTATCGAGGGCCTTCCTGGCAGTGAGTACTGCACATCATACATCTTCAATTCAATGCGATCTGGCGGTTTTGCGGCAACCAACCGAGCATGGGTACATGAAGCGGAGGCTAGACGAGAAAAGGAACGCGAGAAGCGTGCAAAGGCAACCAAGGAGCAAAAAGCGAAGGACACGCAACAAAAGGAAAAGGATATGAAACGCAAACAATTGAATGACCGTCGAGATGAGCAAAAACGGCGAAAGCTTGAGGAGGAGGACGAAAAGAAGAAGGCAAGAATCAATGAGCGTCTTGCCCGCCTGAACATGCAGGTGGAAGAGCGACTCTTCAAAGAAGCCTGCTTTCAACGTGAAAAGGCAATCGTGGCACTTGCAAAGACATTCACCCGTGAGTTTGCCAGACGACGACGAGCAGCCGAGGTCGTTGCTGGACAGCAAATTTTTGAATCCAAGCGTCGCAGTGGAGTGACCGAAGCAACCTACTTACACCTCCCAAAGCTTTCAAAAGTCTATGATGAGGATGTTTTGAGGGTCTGGGATTTCATTTCTGTCTTTGGCGATTTCTTTTTGAAGAAGGGGTTCATAAAGTCCGTGCCTTCAATGGATTCTCTACAATTAGCAATTGACTCTCTCCGCGGCACTGGTGGAGAGGCAAGTATTTCGAAACAAGCCGCTACACTGTCATTGACGAACATTGCAGTTGCCCTCTGCCAACCATTGGCAGCCAGTCAAACCAGGCTTCTTTTTGCCAGTCTTATCGCTTTGTATCCAGTGCTGCAGAAGGAATTCGGTGCAGCGTTTTTCAACGAAATCAATGATGTCAACGACAAACCAGCTGATAAGAAAGAGGACAAGGAGGAAGGGCCTAAACCGGATGTACTTTTGCCTGTCAACGCTCTGACTTGGCAAGAGATTGCTCGTGTTTCGTTTCTGTCCGATGCTTTGGGAGAGCTCGGTTATTCACGGCAAGACAGTGCCCACCTTCTTCGAGGCTACCGCAGTGCGGGCCACCCTAACAGCAAGGAATCCCGACGGCTTCGTCGCGTGGAAGACTTTGCGATTGCTCTTCTACGCCAAGCTCTTTCGGAATGCTCTGAGCAAAGCATCGAAAGACGCCCAACAACCATCCGCATCGAAATCCCGACAACGCCTTCCTGTCAACCTCTGGATTGGATGTTCTACTTGCACAATGTGCGCTTTATGAAGCCCGCTGAATTAGTCTCGTTTACAAAGAATATTGAAAAGGCTCTCCAGCACGTTAAAGCAGCTCCCAACGTTACCTCTGCCTCCACCTCCGCGAGTGCCTTGTCACTGATCACTGGATGCCTGGAAACGCTCAGGAGCATTGAATCGCCACAAGCAAAGACTGCGGCTGAGGTGGCTGCTTTCAAGAATGCGCAGCAGAGCATTGTTTCTTTTCTGGACAGCCAACCTAGTCGCACTCAACAAAACGGCGTGCTGACTGCGAATGGGACTGTTGCGGTGAAGTCTATCAGTCAAGCCGCACCAAAACAGTTCTCAGTGACATCGAGTCGTCATCACATGGGTCTTCTGAGATCCCTTACGCTGGACAAGAGTGAGTACAAAAGGCTAGTCCACGAGCGAGAAGAATACATGCAAGAAGCTATGAAACTCAAGGAGGAGATGGAGCGGCAAAAGAGGAAGGAGAACAAGGAAGCTGGAGAGGACGATGATGACGACGACGATGAAGATGATGACGACGAAGAAGAAGATGACGATGATAGCCGTTCCAAAGCCGAAACTAACGAAAAGGATGGTGCTACGACACCGGCGCAAGTGGCGGCGGCTGTTGTAGCGGCGGAAGATGAAAAGGAAGTGGAAGAAGAGGAAAAGAAGCTTCCAGCAGAGGACTCTACGATGAATGATACAGAGAAGGAAGGAAACGTAGCCGTGAAAGCAGAGACGACCCAAGAACCTGAAACCCCCGAAGCAAATGGGGAGACTGACCCAGGAGAAAAGGACGGCGATGACAAGGACAGCCCGCAGAAAGACCAGACGATGGCTGATGCCACAACGTCAACAGAAGTTCCCGTGCCAATGGAGGTGGACAGCGCCGAGAAAAGCACCAAAGAGGATCTCGATTCCGGTGATGCTGCGACAGCCGAGCCAGATGGAACTGAGACAGGGGTCAAACAAGAGGATAATGGATTTTCGAAAGAGGTTTCAAATGGCAAAAAGCAAAAGAAACCAAGGGACCCTAGAATGATAGGGAAAGGAACTCAATATGACGACTTTTGTGAGGACATCCCGACGGCACCTGAATACATCCGACGCTGTCTTGCGGTACTGCGGGGTCTCGCGTTAGCCGGACCATCGGAACCGTTCCTCTACCCTGTGGATCCACAAAGTGCCCCCGGTTATTACGAAACGTGTCTGAAACCAATGTGTCTCTGGAAGGCCGGTAAGCTACTTCAGGCAGCATCTAAACGATTTTCACAACAATATGCCAAGAACGACCAAGAGACACCAGATGTACCCGAAGAAGAGGTAGACAAGGTGGTTCTGGAGTTCGGGAGAAACGTTCGTCTGATTGCCTACAACTGTCAATCTTACGCCAATGCCGGACCAATGGTGGTCAGTGCTGGGGCCGAGCTGCTTCGGATTTTTGAGAGGTTATTGCTGGACTGGGTACTGGCTCCGTCGAATTTGCTTGTCGATCTAAACGAACTCGACGATGAGAAGTGCGTGGAGCATCACGCGAGCGACGAAGACTCCACCGTGCTTCTCTGCGATGGATGCGAAGGAAACTTCAATATCACTAGACTCGATCCTCCATTGAAATCGGTTCCAAAGGGCGACTGGTAAGATTGTTATCTGGCCTTTGGTTAAGTGCCTGCTTGAAGATTGAATATCGTCTCATACATCTTCTTCCGTTACTTTGCCAGGTATTGCCCTCGATGCGTTTCGGGAAGATGGTGGGGCCACCTTGATCCTCGAATTGGCATGACAGTCCACCGAATTAGCACCAATGGAACCACCGATGACAACGCCACTAAATCAGAATCCTCGTCGACTCAAGGTGTTGTGCAAAAGTGTTTCTTTGAATACCCGGAAGCAACCGACTCGTCGCCGCTGCTTTGCTACGAAGTCAAAATGAGCGACGGAGTCATGGAATCCTGGACACTAGAGGAGGTGGAACGCTCGCTATCGGCTGCCGGCAAGTCGTTGCCTCGTGTGCGAAATATTCCAGCACTTGCAGAGAGCCCGGGTTATGGCGCAGTTTTACCAAATAAGAGGGTGTCGCGCGAATTGGTCCCCATCCCACTGAATCCAAACATATCGGACGCAGCAGCTCAGGCTGCACTATCGAGTACTGTGTTCCGCGACACAATCTCTGCGTCGGGTACGCTCCTGTTGATCAATCCAGAGCAAATGAATGCTGGGGAATGGCTCCGATTGCTTTTGCTCCTTGTAATGAAATGCTCTTCGAGTGACATGATGCAAAATCTTGCGAGCAAATTGGAAGGCGAGTCGGCAGAGGCAATGTCCAAGCACATTGAGTCGCTTGGCAAAGTATCGGATATCGCCGACGTTCTCGAAGCAGTGGACGACGAGGACGGACAGGAGGAAAAACAGCAAGAAGGGGTCGCCGAGGCTGGCGAGAAGGATGTAGCTCAGAAAATGGATATTGAAAGGGTCGATCATCAACTTCAAGGGACTCCAGCAAGCATGCCTGTGCCCGGAGAAAGAAGGGGTTCAACCGTGGAGGTTGTGCCCAGTGCAGTTGAAGTCGTCAGCAGTGTTCCGGGTGTCCCAGGCCAGGCGTCCGCGGACGTGACCCAAGAGTCCAAGGAAGTTGTACTTATAGATCCTGTCAAGGAAAAGCGCACTGCTGACTTGGTTGAGAAGACCAAAAGAGCTAGGACACGTGAAGATGCCATCTCTGCTTTCATGATGAAAGGTCAGCTGAAGCCAACTGTAGCAAGTTTCGAGGAAGATGCTGTTTCCCATGTGATTGATGCTGCATTGGGTTCCAAGCTTCCCGGGCTCTCCTTCCCGGCTACTCGTTGCCGAAATGCCACCTGCGACTTCTGTGGCCTTTCTGATGTCGCTTTGGGGGCGCCTCTGATGCGTGCACCGGACGAGAACGAATGGGGTGAATTCATTCCTCACACTTCGCGATCTCGTCGCGTAAACCTCGTGGCTAGTTTGCAGGGCAAAGGAATATCCGATGGAGACGATATGGAAGAGGAAACAAACTCTAACGAGGCGCCTCAGAAAAAGCTCGTACTGGTGAAAGTTCGAGTTGAAGACGAAATAGTTTCAGAACGTGAAGACGGTGCGGTCTTTGATCGGATACCCGACGGCGGCATGCTTGAGTTTTGCCCAAGGAACCCCGAAGGGTTCCAAAGTGAACTAGAGTTCAGAAGTTTGGTCGGTCTGCCGTTCATCACTGGTTCATTGTCGGCACATGAATGTTGTGCGATTGCTGCTCACAAAGCACGGAAAATTGATGTGGTGCAACGATTCAAGACACGCCAATTGGATTTGGCTGAAGCAGCCGCAGGAATGTCATGCGGACGTACGCTTGCTTTGGGCAGCGATAGAATGGGCAGGCTCTACTGGAAGTTTCACAAGGACACCGATGCTCTCCTTGTTTATGAGCCAAATGATGACGATGGGGAGAACAGTGGAAAATGGCATCGATTTTCGGAGCCCGAAACCATAGCCAGCGTTCTGGCTAGCCTTGGAAAAGATCCCGTGGTGAAAGACTTGAAGCGAGCGTATCCACGTGCTGCCGAAATGTTCAAAGACGGCAGCTGGTCGGATGCCATTTGGAAACGGCACTTCCCGAACGCCTTGAAGGCACTGAATGAATCCGATGAATCTTCCTCGGGAAAAGGGGCTGGAGGGTCGAATCAGGCACTGGAAGAATTCGAGGATGAAGAAGTAAGTCCGCATGTACCATTCTGTGTGCAAGGCTGCGTCACTTTGGACCAGTATTCTAAACTTTGTGTCTCTCTGTTGTTTTGATCAGCCTTTTGAGACCAATGAAAAAGTGTTGGTTGAGTCCAAGTCCGGAAAACTACTGTGGGATGCCGTAGTGCTGGAAGTGTCTCGGTCAGAAGGAGATAAGGTGACAGGGTACAGAGTTCGTTACAGTGGATGGAGCAGTAGGTTTGACGAATGGGTTGACCCGAGTCGATTAGTCGAGCCCAGCGAAAACAACCGTCAAGTCCAGGAAGAAATGCTGGAAGAAGCCGCCATGAAGAAGGAAGGTTTGCCGGCGGCTCTAAACAATATGGAAGCTTTCGCTTTCATTCGAGCGGGTACCCGAGCTAGGGGAGCAGTACCACTTCCTGACTTTGCTGGTATCGCTCGCGTTGGCGTGGGGTCCGCCGATGAGAAGACATTCGCTGTCTTGAAGGCAGGCGTATTGATGATAGAATCGGCATTGCCTATAGGATCCATCGATGTGACGAGCAAGGGGCCATGGAAACCGTCTGTCGCTCAGCAGTGGCGGCTGCTGGTGGAGCGAGCAGAGAGCCCGTCAGATCTATTACGGCTTGTTATATTGCTTGAAGATAACATTACTGAGGAATGGTTCAAAACCGACGTGGGCCACATCAGGGCATGCTTGCCCAACAGATGGAAAGCTCTTTCTGAAGCTTCTGTGGCTTCACTTGCCGTCAGGATTATCCTGTTGGATCGAGGTTTGGACTACGTCACAATCGACAAGAAAAGGTACCAAGAGCCGAGAGCACGCAAGAGATGAATACTTGTAGCAAACCTTACTACACAATCTAGTAGCTGGTACGGGTATCGTGTAACGTCTAATTTGCAACTTACCAGACGCATTGTTGTCTACAGCGTGCTCATTAACTGTAACTCTGTCGGGAAACTTCGTACCCGCAACCGTGCAAGGGTACAGTACCTGGCACCGTTGTCTCGATACGAAGGAGTTGCTTCACTTTAGATTTCTATTAGGCTAAGTTTGACGACACTCCGTCAGTAACCGCCATGGAGTTAGCCGCTTTCGCGACATGATCGTACATATCCCTTAGCAAGGCCTTCCGACGCGATACCACAGCCCCTGAAAGACCACTCAGCAGATTCTCACCTTTGCAAAGGCCGGCCAATTTATTGAGGGCTAGTCCACACTCTGTCCTCAGTGCTGGTCGCATCCTCCCTCTCACACCAAGAAGCGACTTAAGCACACGAAACGTCGAACTCCTTAGCTGAGCCACATCAACGCCAGAATCTTCCCCCACGAGCACGTTGACGGGAACACCAACTGGACCCACAACGAGGAAGAATGACGAAACCAGTTGTGTCAGAGCCGCGTACACAAGTTTGTCTGTCACATCTTCTTGCTGGTGTCCGTGGGCAATCGCGAAGCGGATTATCGCAGCAGATGCACTCAAGCGTGTCGTTACGGAAGACCCACGTTCAAAGACGTTTACAAGAGATTTGGAATCCGCCATCGTTTCGGGCACAAACTCGACGACCCAATCAATGACACTATCCGGTAGACCAGGGCCTTGCTTCACGAGCATCCCCACAAGGCCACCACCTTTTGCCATCAGCTTTCGAATGAAATGCGTCGTCATGGAGCAAGCATGTGCGGTATGCTCTGGGTTGCTATCGCTCCCACTCACAACTGCCAACACGCATCGTACTGCAATAAGATTGCGGGAGGATATCACTTCTTCTGCAGAGCTTGCGCTGGGAGATTCCTCAAAAAGAATGGCTTCGTTTGTCTCCAGCAAAGAACTCAATATTGTCAGCAGAATTCTTCGCAAACCAACAGTCTGCCACACGCGCATTGGCGATTTCAAAAACACCAGCGGGTCATGACACAACATTGCATAGGTGCAGAACGGAGGAGGTGAGTTGGGAGTAGCAAGCAGCGTGCTCGCTACGCAAGGGAAAACATCCGAATCTCTCAGATTTGCTCGTGCTAGCAAGAAGTTTGCCTCGGCGGCGGCGGCCCAAGCCTGATTGTCGTTTGTCAATGAAGCCTTGAGCGACTCAGATAAACCTCCTAGAAGTGCTTTTCGACCCTCCAATCGACGATTGTTGCATCTCACTTGACTAGTCACCTCCCAGCGTTTGCGTTGGATTTGGACTTCTGGGCAACGCTTCCATATGTTGCATTCTATTTGAATCTGAAGAGGCCTGGCCCAAACAGACTCCCCCGAGAGCCACTGGCAGTAGGTGAGCACTTCTTTCAGCGGCAATACACGCACATCAAATCGGACAAAGGAGCTGGATGCTGAATCGATGTAAGCAAACCAATACAAGACTTGGTACAAGAAGGCTTCGTCCACTGGACAGCCAGGCGTCAGCTTAGCCTTGCCCGCATTGATTTCGAGTTGCAGCGGGGAAACTAATGGCAGCTTCAATGCAGAATTGCGCTCGAGGTACGATGTCGCCTTGATAATGAGCTCTGGTATCATTTCATCATAGAGCCCTGTTCCGTCGGAGCGCTCCTCAGATAGGATCCGGGTCAAGCATATCTTGATGGTTTCCGTTGTCTCTGCGTGTTTCTCAGTAGTATTGGCCTTCTCAGTATTTCCATCCGCACCATCTTCAACGGCATTCCCAGAATCAGCAGCATCTTCAGTTGCGCTCTCAGAGACTGGCTGTTTCGTATCGAGACCCACCGCTTCCTTTGCGGAGTCCTTTAGCGCTCTGTCAAGTAATGTCGATACTTCAGTCAGTGGACAGGAGGACGGGTCCGCTTTCACAGAAGATCCCAAGGATTCAACACCCTGAGCCCACTCGCAGACTTTCAGGAGTCCTTCTTGCAGCAGATTGTCGGGAGTTTCGATCATCAGCTGTTCCGCACGCAGCCCAGGCTCCAGATAATCATTAACGAGGCCAAGAAGCTCTTCGACGTCATTGCGTTGAAATGACGCGGAGACGCGCTCGCTGGCAGCACTCCCTCTGCGGTCAAAAGATGCCTCGAGGCAGCTTTGGCAAACTTTCAGAATGGATGGCTCTACCTGTTCGAAGGCAAGCAACCTCCCCAGCGTCAGCATGCTCGAGCTAAAGATGAGGCCCAAGAGTACCGTCTCCCAACTCCCAGTGGGCCCTTTCTGCGATTTGTTGACAACCTCCATCACGACAGTGAGAAAAAGCTCTAGCGGTTTCATTCCACATGCTTCCGAGGTCAGTACTGTCGTCAAGTCACACTGCAACACCAACCACGTGTAGCACCGAAAGAGGAGGCAAAGTCTCCCTGATTCGTGAGAAAGGGAATCAATTTTGATGATTGAGGTCAACTCCTTTTTCAAGAAATTCAGAGTATCGACCAGCAGTGTCGGCGTTGCCTGGAGATGCGTAAGAAGACATGGATCGGTTGCTTGCGTCGAGGAATTTTGGATGCCACTTGCACTGTAGGACGGTGTCTTCACGAGTGGCTCGGGCCCGTTTTGTTTTTCTCCGGGCTTTGCAGATGATGGGTATGATAGATGCTGAATCAGTAAACAGATTGCCACCGTAGGGTCTTGCTTGATAGCGAGTTGTAGCTGCAGGTCCACCATGACCGATTCTTGCTGAAGGACAGTCCTGATCCTACTAGCTTCTCTGTCGGAAAGAGACGCAAGTGATTTGACTGCTGATTTTGCCATTTTCGCAATGCTCGCATACCGCGATCCCATGACCGTGGCACTCTTCCAAGCTTCGATACACCCTCGTAGCAGAGTCGGCACCCCAGCTGGGCAGTTGGCCCCCATTCTCTTGACCAGGCCAGCAGTTTGAGGGATGGTGGCTCGGCACAACGCATTCTAATGATACAAGTAGAAAAGGCAAGAGTGATCAGTTACAAGAGAAACCTTCACAAAACATGATGCAACAGCACCACAACTTACAGCTACATGCTGCTGCCTGAAGACGGGTGCAAAATGACATAATGAAACCACTGTCGATCCGAGATCACTTCCCGCCATAACGCCTACGTTGCCCGCAGCCACATGGCTTCGAGCAGGCTCTGACAATGCCGAATCTTCCAACTTCAACGAGAGCTTGCCCCTTTGGGTGTCGCCTCCGTCCATGTCCGATTCTGGTTTGACTGGTTCTAGGGAAGCCACTACAAGCGCAGATAAATCTGACAATGTTTTGGCCACCACTTCTTCTTGAAGATCTTGTTTGCCGGCTTCACGAGAATCGGAGCTTCGACGAGAAGATCGTCTTTTGGACTGAGGCAAAGCCGAGGACGAGGGATTGGCATTTTCCTCATCGGATGAAACTCCTTCGGAAGCAGCCCCTTCATGCAAGCCATCAGAATGTTTTGATTGCTGCGATGTCGTTGGAGACTGTTGGGACACTCTTCGTCGTTTGAAACTGGATCGAGGATTAGCGCCAACGACTGCCAATTCACTGGTTTCCCAACCGGTATTTTTTGCTGCACTGTTACTGCTGCCAGCGCTGCTGCCAAGGTTTGCTGCATCAGAGGAGACGACGCTAGAACGTTTTCGTTTGAGTGGCGACAGCTTGGACAGATTTTTGCAGATGGACGGTGCCAAATGGCAAGCCACAACATCGACACCCTCAGCAACTGAATAAGTGGCGGCAACGTCTTCCAACCGTGCCACTACTTGATTGGCCACTTCATCAATGAGTGCGGCGCTCGTGGGCGACAAGCCCTCGGGATCTTTTCCCTTTTTAGGAAATTCCGGCACGGACGACAAGGGCCTGGACGAAGATAAGAGTCGTAAGAGTACGGGCAGTCGTTCCATCTCTTCCATTTCCGACTGTTCATGCTTCTGAGCCATCAAGCCCAGTTCAACTTCTCCCAAAGCCAGAGAGTCATGGAGCGACAAGGGATGCGATAACTCATTGCTGCGGATCGACATGGTGCTTGTAGTCTAGGATACCTGGACTATTTCTCTGCCTTCTGGACAGAGAGATCATGCTTTCGTTGTCATGCGGTGCCTTCATGAAAGACCTTTGTCATGGAAAGGTACGGAATAGGGTATCTAGCAAGAGATTTAACAGCATTATCCATACTAAATCTCTTTGTCAGAAAGCCAATCGAGAGTTTCGAATAAACGATTCGATTCGATTCGATTCGACTACCCGCGGGAGTGGTCTTTGAGCGAAGTCAAGCGGGGCGGGCGAGTTTAGGAAAGAGAAACACAAAATGGCGAGAAGTCGCCGAAAGATCGGACATTTTTGTTGCTGTTGCTGTTGCTTCCTTCCGAACCCAAAACTGCTGCTTGGAGGCATAGTCCGACTGTCACTCTACTTACTCTACGCAGCCATCAAGATAGATACGAATTGTACCAGAAGCTTATTCTGAGCCTGGACGTTAATACTTGTATCCTCAACAGATTAGGCGGGGAGTGCGAGGCGGGTTGCGTAGCTTTGGCGGTTGTTTGAGTGCCTGCAAGCATCATAATGCCAAGGCAAAAGGCCCGAGATCACGCTGCTGAGATGATGTCCTTCTACCGCAAGGGGAACAAAATGTCCCCTAGCAGCAGCGGTAGCAGCCATCGTCGTACCAGTAGAAGTGAGGATGACGATGTTGGAGACGGGATACATCAAGAAAGGCAGTCCTCGGAGGAATACTCGTTGAATTCGTCTTCGACGGACTCCACAAGACCTACCGTTCATACGAAGCGAGCACCAGTGCCTTCTTCGTCCAATTCGATGAGCACGGACGAACAATCAAATCCCTCTGCTGGAAGGAACAGTCGATCGCGCAACTACAGTAGCAGCGGGAGCAGTAAGGGCATCCACCATTCCAACACGAGTGGTGCCAGCAGCAATGGAAACGATAGCATTCTTGCAAATGGAAACAGCCGCGGCAGGTCCGCAAAAAGCCGACAGCGAGTCCCTGGTGGTGCTGCAGCCAAGCTGATGCTTCGGGGACCTCAAAAGGCAGCTTCGTCGTCCTCGGAACTCAGTTACAGTGACAACTTTGACGCCGTGGATAGTCACGACGACGGCCCCATTGATACCTCGGAAATTTATGACATGATCAATCGTACCAAGGCAGAGTTCGAAACGGGACGCCGCGTGTCACCGGTGGCCATTTCGTCGGAACAAGGTAACGAAGAGATTGAAGTTTCTTTTCCAGGAGGAGGCAGGAACAGAAACAGCTCGAAAAAGGGTGAAGGCAGGATCAAAGATAGTGCCGATAGCGTTGCGGCGGAGGGGAAAGTGCCGTACATTTTGAAAAGAGATGAAGCCTATCACGAGAATGCTTCAGCAGCCGTCGCAGCCATCCTCGCGCCTCAGGCACGAGGGGACAATGCCTCCACGGTTAGCAACATGACCGAACTACATTCGACTCTCAGTAGCGCTCGATCGCACAACTATGGTAATTCGTCCATCAGCGCCTTTCAGAGTCCCAAGTATACCGATGCTGGAAGTGTGGGAAGCAATGGATCAAATACTGCAAATGAAGAGTTGTTTGATGTTCACCAGGGAGCAGCCCTGCACAAGAGCCCTACAACGGAGCCATTCATTTCGGGAGCCACGGAAGCCAAGTTGGACCGTATGTCTCAAAAGATGTTGGATCCCTCCAAGACATTGTCAGACCTGCTGCGAGCCATTGCATCGCCTGCAGATGTGACCACTATGGACCGCGCCTTCATGGTCCGACGAAAGAATGCGTGTGGAGCCCTCAAGGTCTTGACTGCCCATAATCGTCGTCGAAAACAAATATGCTGGACTGTGGGAGTTTTGCCAGCCTTGACATCGGTTTTGCAGGATGCAGGAGATGAGGCCTTGGAAGTTGTCTATCCTGATGTGCGAACCCGGACGGAATATGAAGAAGCACGTCGTAGGGCTATTGCGGCATTGACCAATCTGGCCATGCCCGTTTCCAATCGTCTGGCAGTTTTCCATACGCCGGGATTGGTCCAAGCCTTGATTGCAACCATTATGCGCGTTGAAGGAGATTGCTTGGAAGGAGCCTGTGCAACGCTGGCATATCTGGCCAAGTCCAACGAGAATAGGATTCTGATGGCCCAGGTGCCAGGTCTTTTTGAGGCAGTGCTGCGTGTTTTACGCCCAACAATGAATGAGGAGCAGTCTTTTCCTGATTCTCCTAAGCAACAAGATTATCCTTGGACCTCTTCAGTATCGGACAGCGATAGTTCAATGTCGTCTGGTGACGAAGACGAGGATGAAGACGATGAGGAGGACGATGAAGACGATGATTTTGATGATATGGAAGAGGAAGCGTCCATCTTGAGTGGATCCACAGATTGTTCGTCTGAGGGAGGCTCGTCTGAGGAAGAGGATGATGAAATGGACGAGCATACGACCGATGATGAAATGTCAACGGATCATGAGTCCATGACTGGCAGCGAGGCGTCGACGGACGCATCCGACAGTGAAACGTCGGGTGATGAATCTCGGAGTGATTATCGTCCTCCAGTCGTCACCAAGAGGAAAGTACCAAAAGCACAGCACAAGAAGAGTGTTGGTAGTCCCAAGCCGTTGTCTCCTTCCAGCAATTCCTCCCGCCCGAAGTTGCATTCGAATTACGACAAAGACAAATCGATCTCGGCAGCTCGCAAAAACTTGTTTGCTATGCTTGGGCATCTTGTTAAGGAAAAGGATAACGCGGTACGTGCAACCAACATCGACCGAGTGGAAGTTTGTCTGGCTTTGCTCCGTTCCTTACCCACGCCTTTTCTTTTTCCAGTATCGCTTGGCTCGTGTCAACGAACTTGTCCCTGTAGTTGTGGAGATTTCTAAGATGCACGAGTCTCCCATTCACGTGCTTGCTGTGCAGCTGTTGGCTCATCTTACTCGCCATCGCCTCAACAGCAAGTCTCTTGTTTTTAAAATGCAAGTGGTGATTCAAGCCATGGTAAAGGCTACTTATTCCAACAGCGATATTTCTCGTCGCTATGCTTGCTTTGCTATACAGAACTTTTCTCATGACAAGTCCTGTCGTCAAGAGCTGGCTAGTTCGGAGAAACTGATCACAGCCCTCTGCAAGAGAGCTAGGCACTCAAAGGATCCCGAGGAGCGCCTTGCAGCAATTTGCGCCTTGAAGAATCTAACTGACGAGCCCGCCAATCTGATCCCTCTCAGCAACACAGCGGAGTGCATAGCTACTTTGATGCAGATCGCTCATGGCCAAGAAGAGGGCGTCACTGAAATGATGCAGTTTAGGGCTTGTGATGCCCTGGCAACAATTAGTCACTGGCTTCGTAAAATCGCCACCAACGGGCAGTCCATGGACGCAGCAAAGCACGATGATGCCAAGCCCAAGAGTATGTTTGTTCCTTCCCTCAAGGTTATTGGCTGGGAACAATTTGAGTAGTAAAGTAGCATTGTAGTGTTTACATGAATACGGTTTGGTTTCAGAAACAGGCAGCGCAGGAATAGGCCAGTATGGCACAGACAGCTCTGACATGAGGGTGCCGGTACGGTGCCGTTTCGGTTCGTTAGTAGGATAAATACTTTGTTCTACCGGTAAGCACAGACCAGACAAAACTCAACCCTACAAAATGTTCCATTGCTAATCAATTTTTTTTCCCTCGTTCATGAGGTGTCAACGGTATACGTTGTGCTACCCGCTCAAAGAGGGGGTCCCGGCATTTGCATACGAAGAAACTCATCAAAAGGGCACACCGTTCCATATCCACCTGGATGAAGGACAGCAGCAGTGCAGTCGCTGGGAACGTCGGATGCCTCAAGAACCGATTGCCACACAGCGAAGGCAATCGTGGGGCCACCAATAGGGTCCAACGTGGGGCCATGTGGGCCCAACTTGACTTCGTGACCGGCACAGCGGAAGTATTGGAGTTTTGGACAATGCACGCAAAAGCCATCAACTTCAAGTGTTTTCAGAGAGGGCGAAGTGATCTGAACGGTCTCATCTTCTGCGAACTGTAACTCCTCGCACCTCAGTCATTGGCGTCATTTTTCATCTTTGCGTCACCGACCGCGAATTTTTTAGGCTCGGGGGCAGTTTCTTCCTCGCGATTGGGGTTGCCGCGCTTCTTGATGATAGGATGGTTGGTATCGTTGTTGGCAAGTGCGTTGAAATTCATCATCTTCTCTTGTCTTCGGGAATTGTGGTTGTTCGTCGGCTTTGATTGATGGTGGGAGAGTGGGGGGGCATAGTCCACAGTTAAGTTTGTCCCCCCTTGTCACATGTGACTTTATTAGACCCCTTTTAGGGGGTTAAGTACTCGGATGTTCGAAGATATCTTCTGGGAGCACACTGCCCTTTCAAGTGAAAGTTGACAAAGGTTCGCAAATCTCTGTGCAGATCTGTTCGCAACAGACGCTGTCGCGCTGTCACCTCATTTCTTTTTTGTTCCTTTTCTTCTGAAGCGTCGGTGTAATCTGAAGAATAAGGAGATAAGCGAGTTCCACATCAAAAACGAAGCAACCCACAACGATGATGTATTCTTCCAAACACTTGATCCTCCCGCTGCTATTGGTGGTAACGATTTTGAGCAGTGGTGTCTCTGGTCGCCGCCTCACCGGTCCGTGTAACATTCCCCTCGATCCTGACACTCATGATTCCGAGCATCGATCCTGTATTCAAGCCTGTCTGGGCAAACTGCACCGAGTGGAACAGTCCTTTGTGTGCGATATCTCGGCGGACTGGATGCATCATGTGGGTGGAACCAACCAGTGGTATCCAGCAACACCACCCAAGGGCACAGGCGTTCATGAATACGTGGCCTACACCGGAACTCCACCTTGTCGCCAAAATGGACACTGCGTCGGATGCGGTGCTAACTTTGTATCCGGCAAACGACTTTGTTCCATTTTTATTGATCCAGAGGATTGCTCTGTCACTTGCGATGAAACCTCCACCTTGATGGAATCAGGCCTGACGGATTTCTGAAACTCAATCTACAAGTATGCATTTCAAAAGAAGTAATTTTATTAATAGTTGTCTGCCTTCATGAATAAGTTTCTTCTGCATGAGCAATCAGCGAATTCGTCATTCACGACAAAAATTGTCGTGTTGCCTTATTCTTGTAGACTACGAAAGTGACTGGGTCGTCCAAGTCAGTTATAGATCTGTGAGGGACTTGATGAGGGAGTGGGCTAGTTGTCTTCCTTGATTACATCCCATGCAGCACCAACTGCCCACAATGCTCGATCTAGGCTCTGCTTTTGGGTCTTGTTTGTGTAAAACTATGATCTGTTACTGGTACACTATGTCAGGGATGCTAAGATCCCCTCCAGGGCGATACCAAGACCTGTCTTGGCATCCTCACAGTCAGGCCTATTGCACCTACTGTACATTCTTCTGGCTGGTTGCCTTCACTTGTTTCCATCCCATTCAGCACCTACTTTCTTCAAATTCGTGCAGTATGGCATAGCACTGCTTATCCACGAGGGCTGAGGACTCGCATCTCTTTGTCTTTCAGTTCTAAGTACATGCACTGTATGACTGCCAGCAAGCCAATCTCCAAAGGTTCCCGAAATCTCATTGCTGTTGAGATACAAGCAGTTCAATGCTGCAATCTTTTCCAATTTGCAATGCTATATACTCAAATTTGGTTGCCATTCAAAATCAAGTCTGTCAACCTGGTTAGCAATCCCACGTCCGCGGGAAGCTGCCCAGTGAATTGGCTGTGCTGAGCTGGGATTGTCCCTGAATTTCATTTCATCTAATTGAATGCTGGTCAATGCAGTCAACATTCCAATATGGTAAGGGTTGGTATAGTCAATAGTCCAGGTAAGACTGGAAGATACATGATCCAGAGCAGTGGTACTGGCGATAGAACATCATGTACCAAAGAGTTTTTTCTTAGCACTGCTTACTATAGATACTACTTACTTGTAATACAGATAGATTCTTACAACTTCACATGAAGAAAGTTCTCAGCATGCTTTCTTAGGGATGACCGCATCTACATACACCATAACATGGGCAATTCACAACATAGGGATCTGGGGGACAGTCAACACGAATATTTCCCAATTCTTTGACTGCGCAAAGACTGGAGGGCACACTGCCTGACAACCAATTCGAATACAGTTGCAAGTTGGTCAATTTGGTCCACTGTGCAATCTGCGAAGGCACCGTTCCGGTGAACTTGTTTTCACCCAAACTGACAGTGGAGACATCTGTTAGACGTCCTAGCTCCGATGGAATGGGGCCAGAGAATAGATTGTGGAAAAGCCACAAGCGGGTCAAAGCAGTAAGGAGACCTAGCTCTGAGGGGACATTGCCAATCAATGTGTTGTTTCGCAGCTGCAAAGTAGCCAGTGCAGAAATCTTAGAAATCTGTGTAGGAATGCTGCCTGAGATGAGGCAGTTGTCCAAACCAACATTAGTCAAAGCGGTAAGAAGTCCAATGTCACTGGGGATAGTCCCAACAAGTCTGTTTGCTCCCAAGACGAGGCTTGTCAACCCTGTCAATAGGCCAAGCTCGGATGGAATTTTCCCAGACAGTTGATTGTGATGTAGTGAGACGTCTGTCAGAGCTGTGAGTAAGCCAATTTCCGTAGAAATAGTTCCAGTCAGACCTGCTCTTTCTTTGGTTATCCAAGATGTGGTTGCAACGTCGTAGGACTGACCAAACAGTTCCACAGTTTGGGGTGCTGTTTGGGGTGATTCTGATTCCGCTGGAGAGGCCGGTTTCACAGCTTCTGCTGGTGGTAATTCTTTGGAAGGAGCTCCACATTTGCACTTGTCGCATGTGCATTCCATAGCAAAGGGCCCTGGGGGGCAGTCCACCATAATCCAAGACAAATGCGCGTTGGCACACAAGCTGTCAGGAACAGAGCCTGTGATTTGTGTATCCTGGAGGGACATGTCATTCAAGCCTGTCAGCAAGCCAATCTCCGAAGGCAGAGGACCGGACAAGAGAGTGTCATAAAGAAGCAACTTGGACATTGTTGTCACAAGCCCCAGCTCTGAGGGCACGTGTCCTGATATTTTGGTGCTGTGCATGATTAGGCCATTTAGTACAGTCAACTGTCCAAGTTCGGTTGGAACTGCTTCGCGGAAATGATTCTCCTGGAGGTACAAATTTATCAAGGATTTTAGGAGCCCTGCTTCTGAAGGGATATTTCCCGAAATCTCATTGTTGTTGAGATACAAGCGGTTCAATGCCATCATTTTTCCAATTTCCGATGGTAGATACTCAATTTGGTTGTCATTCAAAACCAAGTCTGTCAACCTGGTTAGCAATCCCACGTCAGAGGGAAGCTTTCCGGTGAACTGGTTTCTTTGAATTTTGAGGCTGACCAAATTGGAAAGCAAGCCTACTTCGGTTGGGATGGTCCCTGAAAATTCATTTCCTCCAATTGAAATGCTGGTCACAGCAGTCAACAGTCCAATCAGGGTTGGAATGGTACCAGTAAGACCCGAAGAAACACGATTCAGAGCTGTGGTACTGGCGATAGAATAGCTTGTACCAAATAGTTCCACAGTATCTTTTGCTGCCAGATGTTCGGTGCCAATCGAGACGGCGAAAAAGAGCACGATGACAACGGCCACACCAGCACCAATAAGGAACATGGTTTCCTGCGGAGTAATCTTGTGTTTGCGTATTCTCTTCCGAAAGGAATTGTCGACAGGTGGAAGAGGTACATCCTCTCCATATTCCTCTCCATATCCCTCTTCGTCCTCATCGTCCTTATACTTTTCAATGTTAAATGGTTCAATGTCAGATGCCGATGAACCACCCATATTGTTGTTTGTTGGCTTTCTTCTCGAGCCGAAAAAGAAGTGCGAAATATATGTCTTTCCGGGAAACTTGTTGAAGAACCCCCTTGCTTCTTGCTTATTGTGAATGAGGAAACGCCGGTTGCTTCCTCTCCTAATGAAAGAAAGTCTGTGAACTCTCTGCCTTTTCAGCAACCCGTCTTCTGTTGGGTATGGTAGCTCGTAGCAACAAAAGGATCTTTCGACAATAATGAAAGAAGCCAGGTCTCTTTTTTTGCTGGGTTGGAAGTCTGAGAAAATGGAATGGAAAAGATTCGATTCTGCCGATGACGATGACTTGGAAGGTTCGAATTGACTCTCAATGCTTTTGATCAGATGTGCTTCCTTTTCATCGCGCGACGGTGAGCCTTTTGGTTGGGCGGAACGACACTGTCCACAACAACACCAACGCAGAACCAAAGCGGCACTGCGTTCCCTCACTCACTGTTTCTATCAGATTCGATTCATTCTTCTATTATTGTACTGGCTAGTAGATCTACCTTTGTGGCATTGGCTAGTCTGTTTGTTCAGTTAGTAGTCGGCTACTCATCAGCAAGGTACCGTAGGATAGTGATTTCTGGCGGGTCTTGGCGGCTAGCTAGCTTAGCTATTGTTAGGTGTTACGAGAGCAGGAATCAGCACAACAATGGCTCAGAATCCTCTATTAGGTAAGTCTGGGTGTCTTGTTCCTCATTGGCTTTTTTCGCTGTTTCTGTTTCTGACCGGTAGCTGGGCTATTATCTCTGTTATCTGTCTTACTTTATGCGACCACCAGGAAGCCGCATCTCGCTGATATCGAAGAAGAACATTCGATACGAAGGGACTCTCTACTCGATCAATGAATCGAATGCTACCGTCGCGTTACAGAATGTTCGTAGTTATGGAACGGAAGGCAGAGAGAAGCTAGACCCCGAGGTCAACTTTGTGGCCCCCCAGGACGCTGTACATGCCTATTTGCTCTTTCGAGGATGCGACATTAAGGACCTTCATGTACACGAAAGTGCTGCTGCCGCCCAACAGCCACCGGCAGATCCTGCCATCATGTCGGCAAAGGCGCCTCCAGGGAGCGACAATCAGCGGCAACCCTCTGCTACCGGTAGTAAGGAACAAACAGCACCGCCAACGGAGATATCAGAAGAGGCGACACCGTCGACGGATCCAGCGGCACCGGAAACCAATGGGGATGCTACCAAGGAAGCTGCTGCCGCCGCACCCACTAATAATAATAATAGTAGCAACAAGGGAGGCAAACCAGGAAACAACAACAATAACAAACAACAATATCAGCAAAAGAAGAAGAACCCAGCACATCAAATTGGAACGGGAGCTAGTCTACTAAACAGAAAAGTACGAGGAAACAAGGATGGAGGTAAGGACAACTAACTGCAAAAATAGCTGTTAGCAGCGACGCTGACAAATATGTCTTGTTTTTGCCACTACTGTTTTACTAATTCCATTCAAATCCTCCTCATGTCGCTTTTCGATCTTCTCTCCCTCTGGCAGCACTTGCGGAAACCCCATCAGATGACTTTGACTTTCAATCCAAACTGAAAGAATTCGACAAGGGACACGAAGAAGGCGATGACGAGGCCGGTGACACACCTCAACCAATCAACGGCAATGGAGCCAACAACCCTACTAGTTACGAAAAGGATGACTTTTTCGATTCCATCTCATGTGATGCCATTGACCGTCAACAAGGAATTGACAATCGGCTTCGCGGGTCGGCCGAACGCAATCTAAACACGGAAACGTTTGGTGCCGTCGCTCTCAATTCACAAAGGCGACGGAGGAACCGTGGAAGCGGACATGGTGGAAGAGGAGGCGGTGGCAGAGGCGGGAGGGGCCGCGGACGTGGAAGAGGTAGAGGAAGAGGTGGCAGAGGCCGCGGTAAAGGAGGCCGGGGCGGTGGGGGCAGCAAGGAGAACCGCCAGCCACAAACTGCCTCGTAGTAGCAGCGACTGAATGAATCATGCCCTTTTTAAAGGTGATGTGGCAGGCAAAAACGAATGGCGACACTCAAACTTGGTGCGAGGGAAGGAAACGTTGTTTTAAAAAAATGGAACAAACTAGAGGAGGCCGATGAGACATGCATCACATGATGGTTGAGCTAGAAAGGCGGATGTGACTTTTTAGAATATCGCAAGGTACGATAATGATTAGCATCTATACCAATGTCAAGGCAATTCAAGAAAGCGTCAGTAAAGAGTTTGTGCTAGCTAGTCTCAGTTGACCTGCGTCGTATGAACACGTCGCAACGCTTTTTGACGACCTGAATCAATCGAATCAATCCAGCGTTCATTCTGGCTTCAGCTTGAACGGAGGAGGTGCGGAGAGGAGGCACGTTGGTGGGGTAAGGTGCAAAAAGCTCCGACAGCACCAGTACCAACGATACTTCTGGGTTGGCACCGATAGCAACCACCACGAAAAGCCTTGTGACTAAAGTCTGTTATGGCATTGGCTGTGGAATTGGATCGCTACAGTACTACAACCTTGCTAACTGTTCATTTGAGCCCGTGCGATGGTGCTTTATCATATGCTTATGTCGCAACGGCAACCAACGCCTGCGGGGACAAGTCAACGTTTCATTACATTTACCATTGAAGAGCCCTCAACCTACCAAAAGGACTTGCCACCCTTATCAATAGGTGGACTGTCCTTGCATGATTTAATGCTCGGCTTGTCACGATAATGACATGAAAACAGAGCTGTCTTGGAACAACATGTACTGACAAAGTCGCTGCCCTTGGAAATGTCAATTTCACCTGGTTTTCTATTGACACATTGTTCGTTAAGATACCATTCACCCATTTGTTTGAAGAAAAGAAGTTTGTTGTCCTTATTCTGCAGCAGGCAACACGGCAGAGGAGCGACCAAACAGAAGTTGTGTGTCAGCAAGAAACAGAGCCCAAAAGATCTAATGCAATCTGCTTGTACGGTACATGTGCGACTCCACCCAGTAGATAGGCTTACCTTGGTCCAACTCATGTGCATCAGATATGGTTTATTGTGGCCTTTGAAGTATGCCCTCATGTACTTGCCGGTCTTTTGATGGAAATGATACCCGCCAGGAAATTCGTCTTCATCACGACTCAGCACTTTCACTCGGAGGCCATACAGATTGGCGTGTTCGGAAAGGACAGCAACCAAGGCTTGTTGGTGAGAATCTGTTTTCAAAATCAAATCACCTTGCATCAACAAAGAGTTTAGGAAGTATTGTGTTCTGTCATTGTGCCGAACTTTGTAGTTTTGAGCATAGGTGCGAGAGCAAGGAGTGAGGATTGCATCTCAGGCAGGGAGATTAAACAAGGACATTGTCTCATTTCATGCACGTACGATAGTAGAATCCACTATTGCTGCTCCATGGTGCATATCGCACTGAATGAGCACCATCATCCTGGAAGTAGGCATCAAAACTGTAGATTGGCGACTGTTCATCGTGGAAGAAACTAAGTGGAGATTTAAACCATACAATATCCACATCCTGAAACAAAATGTCCACACCAAGAAGGCCCACAACTTGTACACAAATGACCTACAAGCAAATGCGGATGGATTGGAGTGAGCACATCAATGCAATGAGAGTTCCGATCCTGGCGACTGCAACAAGATTGCACTCGTGTGTACCTTTGCCATCATCATGCAACAAATTTCCTGAAAAAACAAGGGTTAAAGCTCAGAAACAGATCACAATCAGCTCTGGGATATCTGTTCCTCACACTTACCTATCACCATAACGGCCAGCCGCCTCCATAGGAATCTCCCCAAAGTTCTTCGCAAGAAACCAAATAATATTAGGAGACCAAAGATTCTCCTCACAATTATGATCCTCTAGATGCGTAACTCACTCGTTCATCAAAATAGGCAGTGAGGCCCACACTTTCTGCTAGTTCTTTGGTTTCTTGATCAGTGGCAAAGACCAATACATTTGAGATATCCAAGTTCCTCGATTTTGCGGAACACGCAAAGTTGAGAAGCAACTCAGATTGCCCACTGTTGGATTTAAATGTTTGCAAAGAGAGAATGTGTTGTGAGATTTCTGTATCAAATATGACATTGCATTGAACTCTTGCACCCCTAGTTGGAGGTACTTACTGGGGGTTTTTTTTTGCAGACCATGACTACCACAGTGTTCTTGATTGAAATTTTGTCCACAATGGGTCTCAGTTCCTTCATGACCTCATCATCGATGCCTAATAGGTTTGTGCAGTATCCCATTTTTCTGGGTATTCCAATTTGCTTTGGGAGGCAATAACTTGCTCTCTGCTTTTGGCTTGATGCCTCTTGAACACTGGCTTCAAGAGGATACTTTGCTATCTCGGCTCTCTGTGGCAGATCAGTGCGACTCCTCATATATTTTGATCTGGTTGTTCATACTGCGGACATATTACCCACTGCCTCTTCCTGTATAATTGTTAGGATCACATTCATGTAATCAATGTTCACGCTTCATCTGTTTTGAGCAGTTCCATGGATGTGGGAGAGCTTGATTGTAGCCTTTTGGGCATGGCACATTCTCTTCT